TCTCCCCCTTTTCTTCTTTGGTCCCATTCCCACCAATAAGTGCTAACGTCCCAGCATAAATTTAAAATATGAAACCAAAAGTATTATGTAGTTCAATAAATCAATATGACATCTAAAGAATATCTCTGGACAAAAGTCACCAAGGGCAGCAGTGTCCCTGTTCACACAGACAGTAAATCACACTGACGTCACATTTGAACTAGACTAAGTAAGTCTTCATTTATTTTCACTGTCAACCAGGTAATGGGAAGGTGTGTTTACAGTCAAGTTCTGATGGTCTAACCTAGGACTATCTCACTTAAAGAAGTCTTAGTTGGGACTAAGTTACTAATAGACACGAAATTGTAAACTTCAACTGCAGGAACCTTGTAATATTTTTTATCCCTCTACCTGTTGTAACTGAAGTACTATGCCTGCCATGAGGTTTTTATCTTATTCTATATCTATATTATTTTGGTCACTATTATCATTACCTACATTGTTAATCTATTTATTTTCCTTCTCTCATTATTTCATTAGTTATATTCATCTATTTATCCATTTTAAATCTGTAAACTGATGAATAAAACTTCTCAGTCAAACACAAAACAAGAAGTAGTATGTCATCAGTTGTGTCCTGAGAGAGAGAGAGAGAGAGAGAGAGAGAGAGAGAGAGAGAGAGAGAAGCAATGTGTAATCAGTTCCGTATCATCTATGTACTGGGGCAGTGAGAGAGAGTCAGAAGCACACAGAGAGAGGAGAGAGATCATATCTAGATGTTGTGCTTGGGTTAATAACAACCACAGTACAGATGGGACGGCTGATTACGGCCTGCTAGGTGACAAGGACCAGTAGAAACAACATGTAGTCAACACTTTAATATGCACTTAACACAGCCACCAACAAGTTTGGTGGTGTTATTAAATGGCCATCCCAATGGAAAAGTTTTTATTTTCAAGAGGTTTTTTATTACACATTTTCATTTTTTCTTCTATATTAAATTTTACTTTTATTTAATCATATTTCATTTTCTTACCATTCCTTACTCTTTTAAAATTGTTTTTTTGCCACTAATTTTGTGCTGGTATTGCATGTTATGAAAGTTGTTGGGGGATAACTCCTATTTACACTGCTGTGCTGTTGGTTTTGCAACTACTTAAATTAACAAATCTATCAGTTGTTTAAATGCACTTTTAAAAAGAACACATCTTCATTTTCAGATAGACCAGTATTAAAACATCTACTTAAAACATCAACTTCGCAGTCGGATCCCATGCTGTCACCAAGACAGATACAGTTACAGTACTGTACAGCCCTCCCTTCTATAGCTATTACACCACATAGTAACATAACATGTGGTTGACACTTACTTAAGTTACATCCAATGCTCAAATAAACCCCCCATCTCAAAGCCACTTAGCCTGCTCTCACGGAATACATCCAGGTACTTGAACACGCACTTCCCCATTGTGTCAGGATGAGATAACAATTTCATCAAGCAGAGAATTAGTTACATTGATTTCCATTGCTGTGTTCGCTACCAGAATGGTTACCTCAGAGCTTATGTCACACAAAGAAAAAAGAGTGGACTTTTCAATAGATGCAGAATGTACAGCCTGATGTTAATGCTTAAATATGATACTGTCATGGAGTCTAGTGAGCACTTGAATTTTTGTACCTTGTTGGATAAGAATTGCAATTTGTCAGCTAAGGTTTCAAATTCACCCATTGCAGCACCAAGTACAAGTTAACATTTTCCTTATCCTGAAACCTACAGCTGGGAGTATTTTTTGAAAAATCCACCCAAGGTGACCACAGATAAAAATCTCACAGTGGCTTGCCCATATTTACAGGTTCTCCAGGCCTACCACCCCTCTATACAACCCCCCCTTGTCACCTGCTTCAAATCCGTCCTCCTTTTCCTTACATCTGGCGTGCTGATGGTGCGGTTGAACATTTTCTTCCTCGGCGCGAGGGGCACGGGTGTCACGCACATGCGTCGCTTCACGACGTGACTGTCAGGGTCTTCTTTCGACATTGTGCCGTAACTGTATCCCAGGGGGGAGGGGAGCTCTGCTATTGTTGTCACTTAAGAAACTCACTGATGCTAGCTACAGTAGCTAAAAGCCGGCTTTGTCCAAGCCACATAGGATTGTGTGTGTCTGTGAAAAGTAGGGACGGATCATCTGGGGCTCACAAAGGGGGGGGAGGGAGGGGGACCACAGTGACCACAATGGTGTCAGTTTTC